TGGCGTTGTGTGTCCTGCTACTGCCACCCTCGCTTCAGAACTTCAAGTTGGAAAAGTTCTGCCATTGATCTACAGGAAAGACTGTGACCCAGGTGTCCCTTTAGGTTGATCTCTTAGTATTTTTCTCAAGCCCAAAAGCGCCCAATTTCTCGGATATCTGTGAGCAAAGCGGGTGGGTTATCGATGCCTGGAAAGTGGCCACCAAATTCGTGACCTAAAAGAAGACGTTTAGCTAAGAACAAACAAAATAGAGGATTACACGTCAAATCTGAGAGGAAGCTATCACTTACTTTGGTAGTATACCAAGTTTCCCACCCGTCGAACCATCTGGGCTGGCCAGAATCCGACATTGTATTTAAAGCTGCTGAATAGGAGTGGCGCGTCGGTTGGGGGTTGAACATAGTCACTCCTGAAACCTCCTGGGTTTTGAAAGTAGATAAAGGCGGACGAAGTGAATGATTTCGTTAGGAAATACAATGCTGTTGACCGAAGTATTTCTTGGTGGTTGAGGACGGAGGGAGGAGTCCCAGCGCGTGGATCAGACCCTAGATAGATGTTAGGTGAAACTGCATTCTTGACCACATGGCAACTTACACTCTATCATCTTTTCTCCAATCCATGCTAGCTGGCCAACGGGATTGTCTTCCAAAGCGAGCCCTATCGTATTTGGCTATGCATTGGTCAGCATAATGATGCGATGCGACCTCCATCGCAAGATAAGATTTAAGCTTTACCTTTGTTGACTGCTCAATGAAGTACCCGTTACCAGTGGCATACCAATCATCGCCTCGCTGAACCTGGAATTGCTCCATAGGCGATAGAGTCACGTTGGCGGCCTCCAATTGCTCCTCTGTCAATGGAAAAAACGGGAGGAATGGCGCATGAAGCGCGCGAACAGTGGAGTTGAACTGCTCGTACATACTGTATCCAACCCCAGAGCCCCAATCGGTACCGTGCACTGCAAACTTCTCATAGCCGAGGAGATCAGTCATGAGGGAGTTGAAGATCCGAGCTGTATCTGCAATGGTCCAGTTTTCCTTGGGGGCTGTGGAGAAGGCGAAGCCCGGGAGCGACGGGATAACAATATTGAATGACACGGGGTCGCCGTTGGAGGTTTTTGATTGCTGTGTCAGTGACTCAATCAGGGGCACAAACTCCAGGAACGATCCTGGCCAGCCGTGTAGGAGAAGAAGTGGGATCGCGTTAGGATCACGAGACCGCTCGTGTATAAAGTGTATGTTGAGGCCTTCAAGGTCGGTAGTGAAGTGATGGTACCTACTTTGAATTAGGCCCGTCTCACCGAATCAGCCGTTCGGGTCACTTGTTCGGTACTTACTTGTTGAGTTCCTTTTGTTCACCCTTCCAGCTGAAACCGTGAATCCACTCTCGTTGCAGCTGCTTCAAAACGTCCAGATCAATGCCAGCGGATGCGCCGACAGTAGGGTAGACAGGCTTGTTCGGAAGTCTAGTTGCTTTGACCAGCTCAAGCATTCTTGAAGCCTCGCCTGTCAAATCAATCTTGAAGGGCTTGACACCACTTGACGTGGCTTGGAGCGGCGCCGCATCAGATCCGATGACAGCTAGCAGTGCCGCAATAGCCCGCCACATGGTTGTTGAGTTGGAAATGCGCATTTTTGTATCGAGAGGAAGTATGCTGATGCTATGTGCTGGTCAAATCTGAGTCCCAGAGAGCTGAGATGGCCATATATATAACAATATAGATATATATTGTTATGGCACAAACCCATTACATATCAGGCTAATGCGGCGAGCACGCCGATTAACTTACGTGTCTAATAGAAGATGAAAGATAAATTGGTCATCATAAACATCAATAATCATATTACATATTGAGCCTGGCCTGTTTGGTACCCTGGTAGGGCTGATGCCGGAGACGCCAAGATTACCAATCTAGGTACTAGCCATTCTGCATCTCGCAGAAAGTTGCCAAAACTCGTCATGCCCCTGCGCGAAACGTATTACTAAATCACCTGGCTCGTTTTTATTGGTCCAACTGAGAATTCTCTGCAACACCACCTCTTAATTGGTGGGAATGGTGGTGATTTTTCAGGTTCCTTGCTTTGAATAACATGATCTGTAATATCGTCTCCTTGATGCGCCATTTGTTGTTGTGTCGGTTCTGGTCAGTAGGAAGTGGTGAATCCTGCCTTCAGGGATATCCCCATCAGACAGGCCCTGTTCGAGGTGGCTGTTGCAATTGCCCTCCCGTCATTCCGTGAATAATGAAGTCCCTACCAGGGTCCGCTAAATACCTTGTCCACTCAGACCGCTTCTCCTGAGAGGCTGTAAACCGGGAGGCAATCACATGTGATAGTCACGGCAACTGGATCTCGGTGCACTATTCAGAATACTTGCCGAACTTCGCATGAGGCTGATATGGGTAATTAATCCGAAGGATGTTCGTGATGATTGAACTAACCCACCTGTTAACGTAGTGTCAGTCGTGGCTTGGGCCTTCATAACGACCCACAGAGGAGTAATATCACTGATATAAGGACCTTGGTCCTTAGCTACATCTAGATGGCGGATATTGCCGAGGCTGGCAGGGCCAAGAGGGCGACATCGATGATGGACCAAGAATATGAGCTTGACATGGAGAAACTCGATACTTTCTCGGGGCCAGAAGCCTTCGATAGGCATGCAATTGACACGTCCGATAATCTCAGTGCTGGTAATCCAGACCGTGGACACAAACATCAATGGCATCGCGGCCGTTCGGTGCTTTCCCATGGAAACTATGAGTTGATACAATGGAGACGGCAGTCTCTGCACGAAAAATATGTCATGTTGATATCCCTTTGAGTGTGATAAGGCGATCTTTATGTATTCGACCCATATGCCCCTCAGTTTAGGTCGGTACACGAAATAACCTTGACCCTTTCCCTATATAACCAACATTCAATGTAGCTGTATGTATTTAGTAGGAATGCAGGGACTTCTATTCTAGCCTATTTTCCTAGGAAACAAAAGTTACTCTTTTTTATAGCATTCTTATTGGTTAAAAGCCCTGTCTATGACCTGAAGGTCGCCTTATCACACTTGAAGGAATAGAGCGACTAAAAACACTCCAATCAGGTCGTTCAGTTTCTACTTTATAGGCGATCGGGCTTCTGGTCTCACATACCTCAAGAAAGTTTTGCGGTGCTATGGCAACATTAGGACGCCTCCTGCGAGAGTAACGATTTCTGGCACCTCTAGCTCTCTGCTCCCCGCAAAGATGCCTTTTCACAAGTGGCGGGAAAGACGATTATAGAATTGGATGTTTGCTTGGTCTCACCCAGATTCACGGCACGATAGTGCCCAGCCACAATGCCGCTGTCAAGAAAATGCACCAGTCATCGGTGGGAAAGCCATCGCCGTCTCCTTGATTTTGACGTAGTGAGTGCAACATCACAGCACGCCAGCTTCAGTAGTTGAGCTAGATGATATATTCCCTCCACAAACTTTGCTTAATTATAGTCGAGAGTTTTATATAGCATCTCGGTGTGACCCCATTTGAACAAGGAAGAAGTATGCGGCGAGTTGTATCCACCAACTTCGAAAGCTATATCGACGTTGTGTAGATCAACCTCGAGCGTACACGACACTGTTGTGTCCAGGGATATCACGAAGTCAGTTTCTCTGCTATACCAACAATCCATTCAGCGACGGTATCAGGCGAGCTGAGGGGAGCTACGTGATCTGCATCGATGCTTGTAACGTCGACTGAGCGGCCCGTTTCGCGCTCAATCATGTCAATGATGGATTGCTGCACGATTGGTGGGATGGCGAGATCATTCTCACAGAGCAGATAGGAAACCGGCACATCCTTGAACCCTGCATACGTTAATGGGTTGGCAAAGCTGGCGGCAGAGTGTCGCGCAAGCCTTCCGGCCCAAAGCTGGCCTTCCTCTGGAGGCATGGAGCTGAACGACATGGCAGCTACGCCAGGGATATCGGTGTAGTATAGCCATCCAGCTTCCTTCAGGTAGTCAGTAATGGGCAAGCAAGACTTTCGGATTCACTTACATCGACTGCCATAGGAACCTTGCTCAGGCCTGGAAAGCCTGCCTTGATGCTCCCCGCAGATTTCCCAACCTCGGGGACAAACGAGGTGATGTAGGCAATTCCTATGACGCCACCCGGTAAGTCTTGGTCCCGCCTGGACCTTTTGCTCAGCCCGCGAAGACTCTCTGTGGCCGGTGTGCCGCCGTAGGAATGGGTGACAAGTAAGATATCCTGTCCCGCGTCGGCAAGTTTGGACACATGGGAAGAAATCAATGCGGCATCGTCATACATGCTCGATGGTGGGCCCTCTTGAGGTCCTTCCGAGAGCCCAACGGAGGGAAGTTGCAAGGTATGGATAGTATATCCGCGGGATGTCACGGCGGCGACAAGGCGGTCGCTAAAGATGGGAAGACTGGATGCACCAGGGATGCTGACAATGGTAGGGCGACCCATGGTGACTAGGAAATTGATGGACGGAGGTACTGGGGATCAGAAGCTACTGGCGGCGAGGATGTTTCGAGACTCAAGGCGGGGTACATGATGTTGTATTGGTGGGTGAAGGGTGCGAGGTGAGTATCTCACGTGAGAATGGGATGACAAATATCTTGAGTTTGCGCTCTCAGAGATATGAAGCACTGGATTTTACTTCTGATGAGGGTAAGTAAAAGGCTCGTAGATGTGGTGCTCTTTGCTCAAGATCCGCAACTGACGATTCTCCCGACGAGGACTGGAGGTTTAATAATGGAAGGAATGCTGGTTACATGGGAAATTAAAACACCATTGCATTAGGCAAAGTTTCACTCTGTGCAACACTGCAGCAGTCTCAGCCCTGGTTTCGCGACAGGTCTAGCGACAATGTTGATCTACGTGCGTGAGGGGAACCGCATAGTCCTGCATTGCAATAGGACTGCTGGTTGAGGTAACTACTTGTTGCCATCCCAGCGATCGGCATTGTCTCTTAGGGGCTATTAAGAAAAGGCCTTTCATCAAACGGGCGCATGGTTTAGTGGTATAATACTCCCTTAGCATGATTCGATGGGATTCCGGTCCAATTTACCGATGACTAATTGGGAGTGGTCCTGGGTTCGATTCCCAGTGTGTCCAATTTTTTGCAGTCTTTTTTTGCCTCAGAGCACAAAGGAGGAGGGGAGGGAGGGTGGTGAAGGGTTATGGACATTGCTTGGGAATGCTTTTGCCCTAATAGCAATTGATCTTGGTTTGATGTTTCCTTTTATTATCTGGTGATAATGGCGCTGAGCGTCAATTTGTTTACTTTCAATTGATGCGCTGGTAGGTGAATTATTGCCTATTCATAAACCAACTCGTGCAAACAGTAAATTGATCATCTCCTTCGATTGGTCCTTGGGCTTGTGTTACAATCATTTTCATGTCCCCAACACATAATAAATCATATGATTCGTGTTGAATTTCTTTCGACTCTAGGGTATGTGCCTTGTGGTCTTGGATAAAGGTAAGGGTAGTAGGTAAGGGTAGGCCCCAGCTCTAACGTACCAGTAGATTTAGAATTGCACGTCCAACATGGTCAATGGCTTCCGAGACACCACGAAGCGACGAGTTTCAGCAGCCGGATCACCTTGAAATCGAGACGAGACACTTCCGGACATGACGTAGAGGATGCAAGACATGCCGCCTCGTACGAACAGGCAGTGATATCCAACCCCGGCGAGCAAAGAACAGGGAATACGGTAGCAGCGGATCGGCAGGTGGAACACCCTCCCCAATTGGCCTCGCGTTATCACTAGCCGAACAAAAAGTCATGTCTGAATCTGGCAGGTCACAGCCGGCGAGTCTGGGTCGAGATAAGTACTGTACGATGCGGGATGCAAACAACAGGCAGCGTCGTACGGGCAGAGGCAGAGATATCCGGGTATAGGCAGGGATGTCTCATGCGGGGTCTTGAGAAAGAAGGAGCGAAGCGATGATGTTCCTCTTGTCTATAAAGAAGCATTGGCCGCCGCCGTGCTCCCTCTCGGCCTCACGCTTCCGCCTCACACCCAGACGCCGACGCCGCCATGAAGCTCTCGGCCGCCGTCTCGTCCGCCCTCCTGGCGCAGTGGGCACACGCCGCCTCGTGCATCCCGCGAGGCGACCCCTTCCGCATCATCGACCCCCAGAACTGGGTCAACCCGGACGACATGACGTGGGACGACTACGTCGCCATCCCCGGCACCAACTGGAGCGACCCCGAGACCCCCGGCACCATCCGCAACTTCAACATTGCCCTCATCACCTTCGACTACGACGACAAGCCCTTTGACGTCACCCTCGACCCCTACTCCACCGTCTTCGGCAACCCCCAGCCCGCCGCCGCAAACATCCCCCGCGAGGACGTCCCTGCCTTTTACCGCGACCTGCTCAACACGCCCACCGACCTCAACCGCGGCCACACCCTGCACGAGTACTGGCGCGAGGACAGCGGCGGCCGCTACGGCGTCGACCTGACCGCCTTTGGCGTCTACCGTCTGCCCGACCTGTCCTGGCAGTATGGCATCGACGACTGGATGAACTCGGGGTCGTGCCCCGAGCAGGGCGCCTGCAACCGCGACATCCGCACAGACGGCCTGGCCATGTGGCGCGCCGACGTGGGCGACGACGTGGCCGACTCGTTTGAGCTCGTCTTCATCCTCTCGGCCGGCCAGGACGAGTCGAGCACCTGGCAGGAGTTTGGGACCATGATGTTCGCCACGCCCGAAGACGTCACCGACGAGTTCGGCCCCCCCAAGGACGTCAACGAGACGGCCCCCAACGCCGCCCGCACCCGCTACGTCCCCTGGACGAGCTTCGCCTCGGCCTCGACCATCTGGCCCAACGCGGGCGGCGGCAGCTCCACCCAGGCCGAGTCCTCGGGCATGGCCGTCTACGCCCACGAGCTCAGCCACCTCCTCAGCATCGGCGACAACTACAACAACCCCTACAGCGACCCGCCGCGCCGCGCCTACACGGGCATCTGGTCCATGATGTCCCGCGGCTCCTTCAACGGGCCCGGAGGCCCCCACACGCGCTGGGAGATCCCCGCCCTCCAGGGAAGCTCCCTGGGCTCCCTGCACACTGTGCGCGACAAGTACCAGCTCGGCCTCATCACCGACGCGGAGCTGCTGCAGGTCTCGCGCGCCGCCCTGGCCGAGTCGGGCATCGTCATCGCCGAGGTGACGGCCCGCTCCGTCGTGGGGCCCATCTTGGGCCTGCGCGTCGTGCTCGAGGGCGGCGACCTCGCGCCCCCCTGCAACGTCAACACGGACCTCTACTGCGACGGCCGCGGCTACAACTACTACGACGTCGAGGTCGTCGACCGCATGGGCGCCGACTCCTTCACGCCCGACTCTGGCGTGCTCATCAGCAAGTCCAAGCAGCGCGACTCTGCGCCCTTCCAGTGGGTCATTGACGCCCACCCCGAGGACATTGAGCTCGTCGACTTCGTCACCCCCGCCGGCACCGAGCAGTACATCACCCTCGGCGACTACCGCCAGCTCGCCGACGCCCTCTTCCACGCCGGCACCCGCTCCGGCAGCCTGTTTGAGTACGTCGACGAGGCCAACCTGCTGCACATTTACGTCCTCGGCGTCACCCGCGACGACGTCGGCGTGCTGTCCTACACCGTGGGCGTCAAGTCGCTCGAGGGCAGCGGCGCCAGCGAGTTTGGCCTCGACCTCGCCGCCGGCAACCCCGTCGGCAGCAGCGCCAACGTGCCGACGGGCGCCGGCGTCTGGTGCTCCTTCGACCTGACCAACAACGGCACCTACGTCGAGGGCGGCGACCACCCAGAGGACGTGAGCGGCCATGTGGGCTACGACATCTACCGCCTCGAGGCCGAGGTCGACGGCGAGGGCTGGCGCGTCGAGGTGCCCAACGCACTCGTCGCCGCCGCCTTTGGCCAGACGGTCAGCGCCAACGTGGCCGTCGGCGCCCTGGAGGATGCAGCCGAGGTCGGCGTGGTTACACTGACGGTCACGTCCGAGTCGAACCCGAGCCTGCGGGCTTCGGCGCAATGCAGTGTACCCATCGGTTAGCCCTAGACAGGCGGCATCATAAGTAGATACATGTGGAATAATAATAGAATTTAGTTCTACATGCATCCGGCAGATACTCGTAAATAATAATAGAATATATTTCTAAATGCCCGACGCCCTGTGCATCGTGACTCGTACCGCCTTCCCTGACTATCCTGACTTTGCTGTATATATAAAATCCAAACCCGCTTCCCGAAACACCCCACGACGAAACGTTATTAGTTCTGCTGCGACTTATCAAATAACATGGGTAACGCTAACTCATGATCCAACCAGTTATTCGTACATATTTCATCAAGAACAAAAGGGGATGGATGGATTGTTTATAGCAGGTCGTCGACGTAGGCCAGCGTCTCCCGGGCGTCGTCGAGGACCCGCGAGTACTCGAGCAGCAGCCTCCAGGTGTAGATGACCATGTCCTCGCGGCGCAGCGTCGCCTCGGCCCACTTCTTGCCCTCGGTGGCAATCATCTCGGCGGCCTTGTCGTGGCGCATAAAGTACTCGATGACAGCGTAGATGTCCATGAAGGAGTTGTCAAAGGGCGCGTAGTGCAGCCAGGGGAAGAGGCGGTCGTCGTGCCACTCCTTGAAGATGGTGGCCTTGAGGGGCAGGCTCGTCGACAGGAGGAACGCGCGGTAGCGCCCGCTGAAGGAGTTGCCGTCAATGTCGGGCAGGAACTTGTACTGGAACTGCTTCTGCAGCGGGACCTCCCTGGCGGGCGAGAAGAGCTTGGCGGCCCAGCTGCAGACGGGCTTCAGGTGCCTGTTGTGGCGCCAGTCCTCGGTGAACTCGGGGGGCTCGCAGAGGAAGTTGTTGAAGCCGACGTCGGCCCACGTCTTGACCCACTGGCCGAGCTGCGAGGTGGCCTGGCCGAGAGAGTTGTAGAGGGCGGGAGGCAGCTGGAAGGTGCGGGCCTGCTTGACGTCGCCCGCCTCGAGGGAGCTGACGGTGGTGCCGTTGAGCATCTGGACGAAGCGGGCGCGGTGCATGTGCCACCAGTTGTTGGGCTTGTTGCGGGCGCCCGAGTTGACGCCGCGCCAGATGAGTGCGTTGCGCTTCGTGCTCCAGGCGGGGCCGTGGTCGCCGGCGCCGCTGTAGTTTTCAATCTCGTCGGTCAGGTGGACGGCCGAGGGGATGAGAAAGGCGTTGTTCTGGGGCAGCTTGCACTCGCCAAAGATGGGCATGAGCTCGTGGGTGGTGGACATGCTGATGCTCTCGATGAAGGAGCCGTGCATGCCGCGGAGGTGCGGCTGGTAGCAGGGGTCGCGGGCGGTGGTGACGTTGCTCACGAAGCCGTGGTACGTGTACTCGGAGACGGGATCTTTGGGGTACTCGATGGGGACGTCGAAGTTGGCGAGCGAGGAGACGGAGCGGCCGGGGGCGTCGGGGGGGCAGCCGACCTTGAGGTGGTCCCAGAACTTCTGGGGCTCGTTGGTGACCCATTTGGCGTGGTGGCTCTCACCCGAGGCGTCGACGTCGCGCAGGCCGCTGAAGTTGGAGGTGGCCTGGTCGACGGGGAAGATGGTGCGGTTGGCGGCCTCGGCGGCGACGAGCCTGCTGATGTCCTCCCAGGGGACGACGATGCGCGTCTCGTCCATGGTGTTAACGGGGATCTCGATGTCGGGGAGGTGCGGCGCAATGTCGGCGACGAGGCGGGACCACTGGTCCTGGCGGAAGGGCAGCTCGCGGGAGTCGTGGCGGTTCTCGACCTTGCCGTCGCGGACGCGGATGGCGTAGGCCTGGCCGTGGGCGCGGCGGCGGACCTCCTTGGGCTCGAGGGCCCAGAAGGGCGTCATGTCGTGGTAGATCTGGTCAAAGAAGCTCTCGACGACGACCGACTTTGCGCGGTGGGCGGCGTCGAACCACTCCTGGAAGCCCGGGGGAGGGTGGCGGCCGCGTCGTTCGCGGTAGCGGCGTGCGGCGTCGTCGACGCTCGTGGACCTCTCGCGGAGGACCTTTTCGAACTGGTCCTGGGAGAAGGCGATGAGCTCGTCAATGGGGTGCTTAGTGCCGCCGCCCTCGGCATCCTCCTGGGGCAGCACGGTGCCCGTCGGACCGCGGCGAAAGGCAAAGTCC